GGGCGTATCCCCATACTTCGGTTTGGGTGCTGGCATGGTATTCAAATTTCACTTCTTTTTATTTTGTGGTTTTGGTTTCCGTTCCATCTTTACACTTGCCTGATAGCGCTTAGAGACTTTTTGTATTTCGCGCTCTATAAATTAATAACCATTAACCATTAATACTCACTGAACTAATGAAGTGGAGATTTGTTTGGAGAATAACATCTAAGAATGGCTTAAAATTGGCTAAAATTTCTAAGTATTTCTAGATTCTCTGGATTTAAGACCTGAATTCTGCTTGCCTCTACCTTAGTCCCCACTGACTGGCACTCTAGTAGCTGTGAGACTATGTTAAACAAAGATAAGATTTGACAAGATTTACAAAGATATGCCATACATTTGAGGATTTATTCTACATACATCTTGACCAAAAAAGGAAATATCATCAAAAACAGTTTGTATTTTATAGTTCTATAATTTCGTATCATGAAAAACAAACCAAATGCATGGAGAACAGACTAGGAACAATGTATAATTAATAAGGAAGATTGGCTATTATCACATTCATTACCATACAGCAACTTGTTATATTAAATTGAAGTTATAAATTATAACCATTCAATATCAGAAAGGTGTACAATTTTTCTTCTGCCTTTCATAATTTAAGTATGGTACGCAAAACATGCAATAATTCAATGCCTGAAACTATTTACGTACAACTTTTTGCTTTACATAATATTAAGCCTATACATGTTTATCATACATTTTAATATAACTAATATATAATATTTGTAAGTTTCTTTACTAAAAAATATGTAATGCATAATATTACAGGTCCATGTTGATCTGGAAAGTATCCAGGGAAAAGACCATTGAAAAGGTATCAATCTGACCAAAACATTCCAAGTACATTTCCCATTTGTGCAATGATTAATGCAAATAAGATCTATGTCAAAGACAGACAGTAGAATACAATGTAATTGTATTGTCCTTAGACAAATTAGGTAATCAGAAATAACACCACCATAAACTTTCCAAGCCTTTAACAATTCCACACAAGACTACTAAACAAAGTTTTGTGGAGTATTTAAGTAGTATTACAATAAGGTGAATTGTTTACCATAAAATGTTCAACAGCCAATTGTTATTAAAAAAGTTACTGTAAGCCACTTTTCACCAATCATATCACACATTGCCAGCCTTGCAGGGAATTTTTAAATCATGTGACCTGCTTCTAAATTATTCAACATTATGAAACAGGAAAAAATAAACAGTTTTTACATATTCAGCAGTTGGGAGTCTTCAATAACCACTCAGGTAACATCTGTCGTCAATGTACATGCATCACTATATGAAGCAGAATTACCCATTTCAGTAGTATAATTATATCTCCATACTAAATCATTAAATAATGCATAAATATATAACATTTTTTACACATGTATGTATTCCCTTTCAAGAGGATAAATTTTGAATAGATAACTGGAATTTTATAATCAAAACTCTCATGATTTAGTTTATTCCTTTTCAGGATGAAAAATGGAGTCAACTAGAACTTTGAATAAATTTCAGTTATAGTACAAATTTACTTAAGCAAAATACTCTTAAGTTTAAAAGAATTTGTTCTGCTTGTACAGCAGGCACCTAAATTACATTTCTCATTAGAGCAGGTCATCAAATAACAAATAACAAGCTATTAAATCCTGAACTATGCCATCCACACCCATTGATTAAGCTTTTGCATGCTGCAACAACACATCGACAGGGTTAGGTTTGCTTTGCCAATTTAGTTACTAGTCTTCAGAGAGAGAGAGAGCATCTTTTTTTTTCTTTAGTTTGCACATTAGATTCACTCAACTGTTGTACGAGTTTATTACTTATCTTAATAATAGTTGGAGAGGGAACCAACAGAGGAACTGCTGCAGATGGAAAGTTCAGAGATAAATTTGGTTGATGAGCAGTAGTGGAAAAGAGAATTGAAGTGGAAACAGAAGGATGACAGGAAAATAGGGAGTATGAAAAGAGAGAAGGAAGGGGAAAAGTAAAAGGATGTAGGGATAGAAAGGGGGAGGGGGAGATAGAGGACTAAACCAACAGATGACCTGTCTAAACCAACAAAAGCCCTGTCCAGACTATCAAATTTCATTTGACAAAAACATGTGCCATTCCTGGATATGATGTCCATATATAGGCACATCATGGCTATATATGGGCATACATAAGTATTTTGTCAATCAAGACAGAGCATTATATAAATGTATTATTATTATAAGATTATTATTATTATTATTATTATTATAAGACTATTATTATTATAAGTTTATTATTATTATTATTATAAGATGTTTTAATGCTGATGCGACCATGTATTTACTTCAAATCTACTCATTTGAATTGAAATTTAACCTGATTTCAAAGTACTATATACACTTTATATTCCAACATATAATATAAAATAAATATTAATACAAGAAACTTAAAATAAATATACTGTAACAGTTAGGATTCTTCCAATATATATATTTAATTTATGAAAGTTATTATTATTTTTTTTTTAACTACATTAGCAAATTTTGGAAGCTACATTAAGCATGAGGAAGCATGATGGGTCAGCTATGCAGGAAAGGCAACATTTAATATACAGTACCAAAGGCAGGCGTACACTATGATACTTTTGTCTGTTATAATCAACAGTGTCCGATCCGACTTTACAGCATTGTTTAACTTTCCATCAGACGCAAAAAGATGCACAGGTTTGTATGAAACATATACCACTGGGCAAAATCTAATCAAATATTGTTTGCAGTCAGACAAAAATATGATAGTGGGCCTGGCTTTATGCTAATTATTATAAATAATTATTAATAATAATTATTGTTTTTATTAATACTTATTACTGATTAGTTAATAATTAATAATTATTATTATTAATTTAAAATTCTGTTTAAAAATCTGTGTATAAATGAATATAGAAGTATCGTTACATAAAGATTTACATAATGGCAACAGAATTATTAACCAGAATCACAGAAATATATCAATTTGATTGACATCAATTTATGCAAATTTATAATTAATTTAATAAAATCATATAAATCAAATCTTCCATAAATTAATATCCAATATAGTATATAGTGGTAGATTATCAACTATTGATGTTTTTTATTCAGCAAACAAAATCACTGACTATCAATGTTATAAAATATACACAGTACAAATTAAATGACTGCTAACAAAACATTAGCTTTTCCCGTAAATAAATCAGCTAAAATATATAAATCTTTATTCTAAACCTACCACAAGAAAAAGTAGACTAACCCTTCACAACTGTTTTGCTAAAAATTCTAAGGGGCTTTACAGGGGAGGGCTATACTACCTACCATGCACCTTAATATCACAACTTAGCACCAAACATTCCTATATTCTTTTGCATTTACACAAATAATATATAAATAATTCCAGATTTCTACCAATTCATAGAGTAAACTAAGAGAAAAAAACTGTAATAAAATGTGTTCAAAACAATGCGTCACATCTTTTAATGGGGTACACCTATTTATATTTAATTCCACCTATGACCCCTTAATATAATGAATACAACCCATGGGTATTTTAACAAAGTTTAAAAATAGCTTTATAAGTATATAATGCATTGTAAAGCATAGTTTACATCTGTTTTTATCAATATTGGCATAATTTATATGAATTTACAATGATGAAAATTTACCACTACAACCTGTCATAGACCAGATTATGGTAAATAGCCTAAGTATTAGGCTATGCAACATTTTTTTACAAGAAATTTCTCTACGGAACATATATATTGGAAAATAGATGACACAATTTAGGCATATTTAAAAAAAATTTATTAAGTAGTTTTAGATCCAATGAGATTTTATTTAATCCCTATTCAAAATTATTCTCTTCTTAAAGCATAACATTGTTAAACAATATTAGCTCAAAATGAATTGTGATGTCAGATCATCCCCACTGTCTCTAAACTGATTTTATTCAAATAAAATTTCATTCTAAATATCTATTATGTAAGCCTACTTAATCCAAGCATTAATCTGTAAATAATTAACTGAATCTAATCCCATAAAATCAAAGCTAGGCCAATTATCTGGTGTTTCAAATTCTGCAATTCATATACAAGATTAGAATGATGTTCATATTGCAACTTTGGAGTAGTAACCCAGAGGACAGAACCTAAAATTTTAGGCCTATAATTGCCATTTTGGACAACCTCTACGAAGATGGATGTTGCTTCAATATAGCAAAGATCTATAGGCTCAAAATCAATGGAGCCTAGTATAAATTTCCACTGAATATAAATAAATGTGTTAGACTTATAAATATGCAATAACACATACACTAACATTGATATTTACACAGAAACATATGCACATAAATGTAAGCTGATGCATGTACACCTAATGCATGTAGTGTATGTGTGTGTGGGTGTATGAGTATGTGGGTGGGTGTATGTGTTATTCTCATGAGCAAACTTTTTTTTTAAAACCGAACATTCAACTCAGTCACTATCACTATCCTGGCATTCCTCGTATGCGGTCCAGTCAACTGGTGGAAGCTTCCCCGCCCGTTGCAGGCTCTCTAGAACCGCAAAGTGGCAGAATTCGTACTGGTCTGGTGTCTGAATACTAAAGGCACGCTGTGTTCGCATTTTACGTACTGTGTCATATATGTTCAGCTTCTGGGTAACCTCCAAGCGGGCTAAGGTGATATCAATTGTGCAGAAAGTTCCTGTGTTTTTCAAAGATACACAACAAAATTCCAATGAATTAATAGTTGAATATTATTTATTTGCAATATTAACTCTGGAGCTTTGGTCTCATTGACAAGAACAACTGAATTATTAAAGAAAGCTCAAGATGATTTGGAGTTGAATAGCTTAGAAGTTAAGATGTTTGCCGTCAAATCCCAGGTTCCTAGGTTCAATTCCTGTGAAAACAGGACTTTTTATCACGACTGAAAACAACTCCACTCCCTAAGCCTAAAGCGATTTCGCTAATAAAAGCATCACATTATTAGATTTATTTAAAGGGGGCCCCTGAATATCAGCCAACCTTCCAGGATACGCTAAGATCACCCTCTATAAATATGGCAACAAAAAAAAAACATTTGCTGATCTCTTTTAAAAGGGATTAAGATAAAAATTTTAATGGTTAATGGTAATTTAATCCATGTTATACTAAAACTGAGTTGGGCGATTATAGATTGGGTGGGGTTTTTTTAATGCATTTGTAGGGCACCAGTAAGGAATTAGTATGTACAAAAAACTGACATATTGAAATTAAATAAATAAAAAATATTAAATAATTGATAAAAAATAAGTTAAATTAATAAATTATTAATGATGACTAAGTAATAATTAAATAATAAAAGAATAAAATGATACTGTGATAACTGAGACTGTTGTATCACATACCTGTTCTACCGATTCCCGCACTACAATGCACCAAGATAGGAGGTCCGTTTGGATGGCCGGTCCAGTCGGATCCCATGGACTCCACTGCTTCCCTCTGGTACTGACGAACCTCATCACGGAATTCAAGCATAGCAAGTGCTGAACGTGGCACACCAAAATCTGGCCAACTTGTGAATTGATAGTGAGCAATCTTTCTGCATTCCCCTAACTGCAATGGCAGAAAATAGATAATTTTATTCCTCATGTAATCATAGCCAAAAATAAATTCTAAAGGCCAAATCGCAGAGTGTCGTACGATTCATCGTCAGAGAGTCTTTAAACATGTTTAATATTCTATGACGCGACTGCCCCCGAGACAAACCATTGCCTTTGCGTTAAACTCAAACAGACCATACGCGACAAAGCATCGCAAATGGCTGCGTTGTACAATGCTGTCTGAGTTGGCCTTTTAGATCTATAACATAAAGATAAAAAACTATGTCAATACTACAAGCTTGAAGAAATAACATCTGTGAGGACAATAGCCTATTACCTCAAAATTGTACTCAATTTCACTAATTGAATAATGGTCCAATTAATATACATATTTAACAAGGTTTTATTAAAAATTAAATGTCTGCCTGCTTAATAATTTAAAACCTTGCATTTTAATTACAAACGGAGATTTTCAATTTACTTAAGAACTGTCGCAGACAAAGAACTTGTATCCTTCATAGAAACTCTATCATATTCATAATGGCCAAGATATAAATTTACATGTTGAAATGGGGGGGGGGATGGGGGTGTAGCATGTAGCAAGGACCAGACTGGTAGTAAAAAGTATTGAGGACCGGTGGTAGACTGTACTGAGTTGGTAGCATGGGATAGTATGTAATTATAACAAGTGTTAAAATATAGTGAGCGCAAGTGATATATATATGGAATGTAAAGATGACATGTAACATGTAACAATGACAAGTGGTAGCAAATACAGATGAAATTTGCAAAAAGGGGAGAGGTGGTAACATGTACAAGGACAGGTGGTACAATGTAGAGAGAATTAGAGAAGCAAAGCACAGACGACAGGTGGCAGTAAGTGATAAAAAGTTATAGAATGTAGCGATGACAGGTGGTAGTGTGTAGTATGTAAAGATGGTATAAATTAAGGGAAAGGAGGAGGTAGAATCCATTGATGTCAGGTGGTAGCATGTAGAGATGACAGGTAGTACAATGTACAGAAGACCGGTGGCAGCATGAAGCAGAGACTGGTGGTTGAATGTACAGTAGCAAGGACAGGTGGTATGAGTATTCTGTACTTATAAATACGGCCACCAATGAGCACGTGAGGAATTACTGTTCTTACCGAATTATTTTGTACAAATAAAGTTGACACTATGTAATCTCTCTTCTTTTCGACTTCTAAATTAACGACCGTCATTTGTCCATACTCCTCAGCTGTCTCTGGATCCGGCGGCCAGTACTGCGCACATTTCGTACGCCCTCGCTCCACTGTCCTTGTTGTCATTACAATAACAAGAATGTTTTCTTGCCAGATCATCCTCCAATAATCATTAATTGTATTTGGTAATGGTCCTAAAACAGGGAGATGGAGAATAAACAGAGTCTTAATTCATAGTTTTAAAATCATATCATAATTACTGTGAGATAATATTCATCCTGATAATCTTGTTGAAATTTTTAATCATAATCATCATGGTAACAATGATCTCTGCAAATCATCCTCAATGGAAACAAAATACAGGCATAAAATACATATGATACGCTCACATGCTTGAAATGTATTTTTATATCTAGAATGCTTTTCAAATGGTGTAGATATTTAACATGATTATGAAAAAAATCTAAATTTGACATACCTTGCGCTGCTATGAAAGCATTTTTATGCATGAACCCATCAACATAGTTTGAATTGATGTAGTCCGATGCTAAATCATCCTCGGATGCCACTAGCCTCACCCTGCTGTGGTCGAAGCACAGTACGTCTGCGTAGCGATTCTTGGGAATGTTTCTTTTGCTCCTAGGAAAGAGAAGTCATATTCAAAGAATATCTAAATTGAGATACTCAACAATCAGGTTTCCAGATGGTGAGTCAATAGTTTGTAAACGAAATACAAATAATAATGATCTCTGCAAATCTTAATAATTACTGGAAGCCATTAACATCCAAATAATCAACTGCAGATATAAACTTTGTCCTATCATGCAATCATTGATTTCTGGTCATATTGTTCAACAAACATCACAAAAAGAAGTAAAAACTTACTTTGAGTAAGAAAATGATCCTGAAGGCGGTTCACTTCTGATATCGGCATATTCTTTATAGATCCCGTGTTGCTTCAATTCTTGCATATGCTCCACCAACTCTGCCGGTGTCATGCCCTTATCTTCAAGTCGGTGAATGCTCTCCCCATCAGGAACCGTACTGGACACCCGCACTGGTATCGGTGGTGGTGGGGAGTTTGTACCAGGTTCTGGTCTTGGTGGTTTTGGCGGTGGTAATGATGGCATATCGCCATCTTCATCATCACTGGTCACTTGCAACGTTTGCACAATCGCGAATATTTTGGGGTCGATGACGGGGTGTACGGCCATGTTGTCGCCGTTACTGTCAATCCCATTCGTGGAAGGCGAGACACTTGCCTCGATGGAAGGGCTCTGCTGCCAATTACTTGCTTGAATTGGCAGAACAGAGTTTAACATATCAGTTCTTTGGTCTTTGTTAGAATCTATCGAAATTGTCCTTGATGTAAGATAATTATCTTGTGAAAACAATTCAACAGCTTTTTCATTTGCTGAAAGCGCCGTCGGTCCGTCGTTTAGCTCTTCACAAAAATCTGTAGTTATTCGCTTTTCGTATGAAGCATTTAAACATGATTTCAACCAGTCCATATGGTTCAAAACTGCAGTGCCACCTAATTCACTTGGAAGGGACTCCTTTGGAAGAAATTTCACTAACCTCTCTAAATTTACTAGGATTACCTGATGAGATAAAAAAAAAAAAAATAGAAAATTATCTGTTTTGTTGAACCAATTAGTTGCTTTAAACTTAGGAACGGTTTCAGCTACTGCTTCGGTCACTTTCTTCAGACTAATGGACCCTTTATTGAATTGGGTCATTCACGCTTCGGTGAGTGTGTGCAGCAACACAAGTTTTATCCCGTTTCCCCCCCCCCCACCTTGTGTGCTCTACTTGAATAATAGGTCATTATAAATAAATTTAAAAAAAAAAATTATAAATAAAAAAAAAACATTCAATATATTGACCAAAGCCTGCCATAACATGCAAATATGCATTGGTTCATGCCTAGCTGACCATAGCCATGTAGTTAAAATAATCATACAATTCTGCAATTCATGATATGTTCCAAGCACTGATACTAAAGGATAAAGTTCAGTGTTAAACCCTGCAAATCAACATAACATAAACACTGGCATGCACATTGGTATTAATGTAGTGAAATGACACCGGCATCTAAACCTTATTATTAATGTAGCGACATGTACTGAAACCAGATACACTATTAGCGTCAAATGACTCGATAATTATGTCTCCAACATTTGATAGCAATTTTTAAAACTTCCAATTATGTAATGTTTAAACTTCTACCCTATAACCTTTGAATCATCCAATAAACCTTGATGACTTCTAAACACCAACAGCTAAAAATATTGTAAACTCCACACATACTCTAGCAACACTGTGTGCATTCCGGAGCCAGTACATGCACCGTATAAAAACTCTACACCAGCACAGAGTTACCAATTAACATGTACACTTTGACTACTATTATTAAGACCATTTCACAGACAGAGCTATCTTATTGTTATAATGCAAAAATTTTCCTGGCATTGTATGAAAAGGTGACAACTGACCGTTACTACTATGTACTGTGGTTATGTGGCGTGTCATCAAAATGTGCCCCATTAATCTCGTTGTCACAGCGGATGCATTTCAGGCCCTTAATTTTTAGGCTGGATGTTCAAATCCTTGTTGTGAATTTTGCTTGTGCCTGGGTAAGGTATTTTATCTATGTTTATCTCTCATTACCCAAGCTATACGGTAGTACCTGGTAGTTTCATGCATCATGCGCTAATTACTATGATGTTATGGTATGCTTCATAGGTGTTTGTTCTAATGACTGGGGTAATAATGTGATAAGCGCAGAGGTCATGACAATATCCATGTTGTAGATCTACCAATAGGGAGATTACAATTTGCGCGATGATGCAGCACTCAAGGGATTCACTCATGCCTCATTGTCCTACATCCTCTGCAAAACATATATTTAGTCAATTTGCATCCTAGAATTCACATTATGAGAACTTACCGTTCTTGAATGCGCAGATGACTTTTTAGTGATGTCAATACGTTCCTTGTCTCACCGTGTCATGCAATCAAGAGCTCCTTATTACTATCTTATTACCACTAAAACCAATTCACTCGTTATGACCCCTAAATCTAGTCAACTGAACTTAATTATTATTAAGCATTTCCTAAATCTTGGCACAATACATAATGTAACAGACACCTCTCATCTTATATACGGTAACAACCCTTTGAAATGACAACTTACTCTTTCCCTGATTTTTTCCTTCAAAAGTGGTTTTAGAATTCCGTACATTGCTTTGAACCAGAGTGGTGGCGCCACAACGTAAACACGTTTCAACCTTGCTGGATAACCATCACGAAGCATGCTCAGTAGCTTTCGGCTGAAGTTTATTTCAAAATTGGAGAGGTTGGAATCTGTCATATTGTAAACAAAGACGAGTCCATTCCGTTGTGTATTGGCACTGCAAGAAAAGAAATGATATAACCAATCACAAATGATTTATAAGATGGCCTGGCCTGATGATTAACTACGATGGATTGGCAAATAAATAAAATTTGTTAAAAATATAGCTACCTTCACTTATTATTATTATTATTACAACAACAAAGTCACTGTTTTTATTGTTGGAAATCTTGCTGCTTCACACTCGGCATTAATGTAGCGCATCTGCTTGTGTCCAGATGACAAATTGATGTCCTTAAAAGCTAAGGGTTAGGAATACTGCAACCAGTGACTTGCAGAATTCCTGATGATGACATAATTAATGTCGAAATATTGAATCCCAACACGATGGCGTGTATTTCAATACTTGGAGTATGTATTATACTTTCTTACCAGTGACTTGCAGTTTTACATGGCTGAATTGCTTAAAAGCATCAACAAACTCTTTCAACAACTCGTTCTGGGGCACTGTAGCAGAGCATACTTGGGCCACCCGAAAAGGCCAAACTGGATGATTGACAAGAGACTGTACATTGCATGGCACTTCAGAGGGGATATGGAAAATAGTTTTCATTTAGTGCTTTTATTCACTGTAGATGATAATTATTATGTTTATGATGATGATCTTTATTATATGATCATGTTTTTTATGATGATATTGATGATAATGAAATAGATCATTATGCATTGGTGTTGTACTACTGTAGTAATAAATGATAATGATTATAATAATGATGATACTGATAAAAATGGTGACAATATCAGTATTTTTCAGATTCTTGACATTACTAAGGTTTTTTCTATATAACCAACAACACTGGAACTTTAAAATATTATTGTACTCATACATAGAACATAATTCTGTATATAATTTTACCCAAAACAATAGGAAAGATATAAATCTGCTGACAGGAAATGGGTTTAACTGAAGGGCAGCCACGGCCAACACAATTAGCAGACACCTACCTAGTGCAATGTTAATGTAACCGTAAACGACTGCTCCCAATCCCAACAGAGCAGGCTAATGCAATCACTCTAAGCCTTGGCTGTTTGTATTAGGATATTCTTATAGTATATTATTTATGCATGATTCCAAGAAATCGGCCTCACACAGCTCCCTCATTAACTTTTATCACATGAGACCTATTCTGATTCATGATTGGTTGAACAATTTGGAAGAGAGAGTCTGATATTTTGTGCATACTTCTCTACAGTTTATCTATAGTATATTTTTCAAAATAAATAAAACATACAAGAAATGATATTCAAACATGACTTTAAAAAAATACAACTTGCAAAATGGAGGAAAGTATAAATATTAATTTTTTTTTAAATATATACATATCTGCTTATGAAAATGAGAAAATCTTACAAAACTAAATAATATTATAAGACACGTTGTGGTGGAAGAACTAGCTTAATGATTAATGTTGCAGATGTAATTGTTACAAACGTGATTGAAATCAAAGCCTGTCTGGTAAATCCGCAAGACTCAGACATAATCTAAAAATAGCCTAATGATTCAACCATCCATGATTATCATGATACAAAAAAAAGTAAAAGAAATACTTTGTGGTTATAAAAAAAATATCATCAAGAATTTCTTGATGTCAAATAATCATAAAATGTTAATGTTTTGATAGTTTAAGAGAATTACAGTTAACATTTTGTGGTAAAATATATTTATTTATTTAAAAACATACTTAAACTAGATGAAATAACCAGGAGTAAGTCTAAAGCCACAATTTCTGCTATAAATATAATTTTTTTTTTAAATTACAGTAAGTACAGTGCACTTTTTAATTCTGGGACCCCTCTAATTCTGAGACCACATTTTCAAAGAACTTAAACACCAAACATCAATCTTAAACACAAAGCTAACCCTTTAGTGGAGACCAAACACCAAGACCATCCTAAATGCATACGGTAACCCAGGGTTGTAGCTGGAGAAAACTATAGTTTGGGTGACAGATTTTTTAAGGGTGGGTGGGTGATAACATTGGTAAACTCCAAATAATAAGAGTGGATTTTAAGGATGGTGAAGTGGGTTAATAAGGGTGGGTGGAAGGGCCATGATATTAGCTTTAGACTGGGTGGAAAACTTCAAGGCTAGGTGGCCCTGCCCACCTCCGCCCACCATAACTACATCTCTGGTAACCGTATTAAGGTACTTACTCAGCCAAAGCATGGTCTAACTGGAAGACGACTGCTTTAAGGACAGTATGGGATGATGTAGTGCTGGGATTATGCAGCTTGGCTGTATAGAGTGCTATTGCTGCTCCACCTGAATCCCGATTCGGCTAAGAAATAAACAGAATAAAAATTATAATTTAGAATAGTATACATTACAAATCATAAAATACTATTAACCAAAAATTTTCACTATCATATCATTTAATTTGCATAAAAACAATACAAAGTAATTGAGGCAGGATGACCTGTTTACCTTAATTCTAAAACAGTATAACAGGAATAAATGATGCAGATAGGCAGTGAAAGTAACTTAGTCATAAGGCGGGGAAAAAAATTGTGTTGTCCTTAAATGGAAAAAAAATCGTTCGGTCGGTTGGATTTTTTTTCCTTTTTTAAAAATTTTTTAGTAATACATGAAAGAGGATTGTTCATAATTGGCCTAAAACAGTAAACTAGCTATGTACTGGCTTTAAAGCGATGGCTAGACCTAAGCCTGTTTTTATTTATTGTCCAATATACCGTAAGTTAAATGAATACTATTTTTGGTTCAAGCAACCACTAGTTGTACATTAGTAAAGAATAGGCCAGGACTAGATCTGGTCGTGGTTTGACAGCTCAGCGCGAGAGATCCATATGTTGCGTGCACATATCGTTGTCACGCTCGATTCTCCAAATTATGCCTTCTATTTTACCAATTTTACATCATGCATCTATTGCCCAATTTTAACAAAAATACATGTCTCTTTTAGATTTTATGTTCTAAATGTTAATTTTGGCAGTTGTATTTCTCGAATTGGTACTTGGACAAAATTTTTTTTTTTAAATGCCGACCCGATTTTTTGGAACATTTTAGTAGGTCGCGGAGGGCAACAAAAAATTTTTTTTTTTGGCCTAATTACACTTAGTTGTGGAAACGAGTATGTGGTGAAGTAGTAAGTCTGAGCTTAGATTGGTTGGTTTTCTACAGTGTGCAACAAGGATTCCAATCATGTAAGTTGAGAGACTTATGAGAGGTTATTCTGGTGTTGAATTAGGCAGTACACAAGCAGACAACCCTTTGCTCTATTGCAGAAAGTGTACAGTACTGCATTCTTTAAACCCAGGCACACACCGGCTGATAGCTGGTGAATCCAACTTCAATCTCCGTCTGATCAGACTCATAAGAACAACAGTTGTGCACACCTTGTAGTTGCCGTCGCACCGTGGAATTGCATCGGCTGACGACAGTTTGCGTAGTGCGCACGCACCTTGAAGTGCACATTGTACAGCCCATCTTATTCAGCCTCAGAGTTGTATGGCAGGTGCCCAGTCCTTTTCCACGCTGCATTTTAAACCTTCCCAGTATATTTCAAACAGGTACTCAATTATAACTGAGTGAACTTAGATCACCCTCACCGAGAATTGGACTCGGTCATCATACTGTACATGGTAGAGAAGTACCTTATCTTTGGCCCCTGTGAATATGCTTGATTATGTAAATTTTATTGTATTTCATTCTCATCCAAAAACAAATTGCTTAAGAAAAAATCCTGGTGATTACACTGAATTACAGAATGTGAATTTAAGACCCTGGCTTAGGAAGGCAAGCAAGCACGAGACTAATGGCCTAAAAATCTAGTGCTACACTCGTATTTCAGCCCTCGGATTTAGACACAAGAATAGCTGTGATGGAATTTAACCAGAGACATAATATATATAAATCCATCAATAAATATTAGAATGAAAATAATAAATGCATTAAAAATCCATTAACATAAATAAAATGTTACCTTGCTAAATAAAATGAAAACAATTAGTCATTGTACTTTGAGAAAAAACAAAAATGATCAATATACAGTAGACAGAGTTCATGTAATCTAGACATACAAATTAACATTCATAAATATTTGTCATAAATATTAATGAGTTCGCAGAAATATAAAATGTATATAATGGGAATTTCTCTGTCAGGAAACTATACATTAATTTTGAACATAGCATTGATCATCATGCCTGCTGTAAATGCTAACTATCCTCGGCTCTCTAATCTCGGATTGGTTATGATTCATCCGCTAGATACATTTATCTCGAAACTAGCGCTTATGACATGTACTTATGACAAAGCATCATAAAGATGATTCGTGGAATATTAAAATTTAAGCATGCTATATGGATTAGTTGTTATTATAACCAGGAAATACTATAATAGTAGATTAACAACAATAATAGTTGGTAGTTCTTGAAGTATTAACCAAATAATGCACTTATGAAAATATCAGTACAGTAATAACTAATGCTGATTCTTATTCAATGAGACTTATAATTTATCATTGTTCTCTGTGCAACAACCACAATTCAGTGGATTACTTACTCTTTTTAAAATAAAAACATTCAAAATGAGTTTTCCTTTTAGTTTTTGTTTTTCCATGAGTACTGGTACAAAAATATTTTTACAACCAAGATGATGGTATCTCTGTATGAGTTCTATTTTTAATAATTCAAAAAAAACCCATTTCACTGCACCAATTCTTACTTTCTTAATAATTCTTAATAATAATATCAAATATGAATAACAGGAAATACTGCGTTGTCAAACATGTTTCATTGGTATGATATCTCTTGCTTGCCAACTGTCTATGATCTATACTAAAACTGAGAAGCAGGTCAGTTGATGACTGAAGATGATGACTGATAATGATAAATAATCATGATCTGATGATGACGACGATCAGATGATGATTTGTTTTGTGTCTGGTTTTCTGTTGATTTGTGCCTTGCTTTGTCCTGTTCTGTCCCTGTTTGCTTCTTTTTTTATTATTATTATTTTGCAGGCTGTCCCTACACAAGATTTGTTAATAAATGTTATGTTGAATTGAATTGAATAATGATGATGATGATGATGATGGCGATAACGTTGACAGTTGATGATGATGATGACTAATACTGATGATCAATGATGATATGATGACAATGATGATGATTAGTGACAACAATCTGATTATGATAATCCTGATGATTATGATGATAATAATATAAAGTTTTAAAAAAATGAAGCAACTGTATTTGTCCTACAAAAATAACATTGGATTAGAGAATGACAAAATAAAATACTAGCCACTTCACAGAGTGAAATCTGATGAAAGGTGTATGTTGGGCGTATAAGACTACCCCTTGTTACACTGTCAGAATTCCCACTTTTTTGTCTGCTTTTTATGTTCGTGATATGCATCTAGCTGGTTAAAAACAAAGCCAAATGTAGGGCTAATCTTCTAAATAGTACCATTTAATGGGCTTCTAAATGTAAAATCTTACTTCCCCACACTGAAAATTGCGTTCACTCATTCTAGCAGTCAGTAGCTTCATTTCAGTAGTAAATTTGCGTGTTACAAACGATCCACACATAAGACAAACACGATTTAAAAATCAAAAATGTGTATGTTGTGCGTACAAGATAACCCCGTTTTGTTGTTTTTTTTGGCTATTTTAAGCCTTGTCTTATATGCGAGAATATACGGTAATAAGAGACAGCACATTTTTAACTTTTTAGTTGAAATCACAAGCTTCCTATGGGGCCTCTATATGGAATACAGTAGTAGGAAGTGGAAGCCCCACGACTACTAATATAAGCCTAATATCTGCCTCTATGTACATTCAAATTTAAATATGTACAATAACTAAAAGTGTAGGAATTGTCCTATTTATAAACTACACAATGGCTCCTATTCTATAATGTTATGCTCCATGAATTGTTGTATTTCCAAGTAATTCATTCTCTTTTATTATAACGTGATAGAGATTAAAGGGCATGTAGTACTCCTACGAAAATGACAACTGATTCAGGAAGTTGGAATTAGCCGAGATTGACCAAATGAAGGAAGCAAAATCAAAAATGCCAAAACACATAATTGGTCTTGAAATAGTCTGACCAGTACAAAATGATCACTAAAACATGTACTGAAAAAATAATAAAACAGTGATAAAATGATTAACTTACAATGAGTCTCATGAGTTATTGATATACTGTATTCAGATATCACATATATACAGTAAAAGGTTTTGTTTGTGGTTTTGAATCTTTTTTTTTTTTTAAGTAGAAGCAGAATCATTTTGAAATTGAAAAACATATTTTTCAACAAAAAAAATCACCTAAAGATAAACAACTAATATATTTCCTGATAGTTTTCTTTTAATTCTTGGAAACTGCCTTAAAATGAATGCCTACAAAAATGTTATGATCATGAAAATTAACTCAGTGATCATCTATCATTAAACATGAAAATAATCAGAAACCCTAGCCTCATTTTCTCTAAAAACCTCATACATTAATTGACCTGCATAATACAATAACACAAATTTTGGTCCATGACAGTTGACATACAGTACACTAGAGTAATGTTTAATGATCTTGTACAAACTAAGGTGCTCTAAAAAAAATACCTACAGTATTTTTTAATAGAATCACAGACATTATGTACACATATAGAGTCTGTGATAGAAATTAACCAGGAAATAACTTACACCAGTACAAAAAAAGATATTTCAAAAATATATAAACAGAACAACTCTTTTACATTCCAAAGGACTAGGCTGCTACTGATATACAAGGGTTCCACAAACAACAATATGAATATTTTATATTCATAGACACACAAAAAAAAAAACCAATATTTACTGAACATTGAATGTGTGTGTGATAAAGTAGACATCTTTTTGATGCTTACTGTATGACGTTGTAAACGAGTTGTAATTGTATTAAGTACGCAAATTTTGAAAGTTTTTAAATAAATTGATTAAATGATTGATAATGATACCATAGAAATTATTAGAAAAGAGATACACAATACTCTACAGTATGTGGTCAATCAGCGGTTAACTTTCAATGGTAGCATTTTTTTTTTTTACTGTTTTAAGATGTCCTTTGATTAGCTGCCTTCACTACGTGGAAGATGTTGCGCTTGTGGTAAAATCTATACGCAGGTTTCCCGGAACGCTGCCCTCAGCAGCCTGTGCAAAGCACAACTCAGAGTCAGAAGTGGAACGTGAAATTTTGATATGGTTTTGTAGTCAGATTTGCGAGAAAAACTTCAGCTACCCGTATTTCTCGACTGAGACATCAGTGGGAGCTGTA